AACAGTCCTTCAACTGTGAAGTTGAAAATAACGTATTTGCATTCGTGTTGGAAGGAAACTATTATCACCGTTGAAAAGAACGGGACCAATTCTATAAGAAACCACTACTATATGCAAAAGATTAAATTTTTTTAGCAAAAGCTGCTATTGCTTTGTTGAATTAAATAGCCAAATATATGCACTAGGAGGACAAATTTGTTAAACTTCCTGTACTCGAATCGGTATCAATAGAGGATTATGGCATCATTTCAGCATTCCTGCTTCGTCAAACACTGGGGCTGATACAAATTCAAACTCGGAAAATCCAAAGAATGTCTCCTGCTTAATTTCCACTTGGTTAGTGTACAGAGGTATCATCTACTTTTCTGGGCATCAACAAAAACGATTTTTAATAATATCTTTTTCTGTCCTCTGGGCTATACGAAATGTGTAATCTTTTAGCAAAAGCTGTTATTGATAGCAACTGTATTTGTAGCCAGTTTCGATAGTCTTTATGTTTGGTATCCACCAACTCTCTTATTTCTTGTGACGACCACTCCAGATCTTGGTTGTGCACATTTTCCTTAAATCATATGACCTCTTTTGCTGCATTATGTATACCATCTTTTATTTGACAGCATAGTTCTTTCACAGTCGTTGTTTTATTTGGTAATACTTTGTAGTTTTGTAGCCAATCTTAGTTTATACAAAAATGTCACTGTTTGTACAAAAATTTACTCACAATCTGAGTTTGTACACTCATATTTCCGGGCATTGTTTGCTCAGATTAATAATCGCTGTTATTTTCCCTGTATTTAACTAACATCTTTGCCATGGTTAAGTAGTGATCCGATTAACACTCCGATCCTCGATAGAACTTACGTTCAAAACTGTTATGTTTGATTGTTGTCATAAGTGTGTATGTTTTGACAATATTTTTTAAATTGATTTATTGATATTATATTGTAAACATTTTAAAAATAATTCGATTTGTGGACAATATTGCTAATATTGTTCTGAAGCTATTTTCTTGTGGCATTTTAAATCAATTGCTATTTAACTGGGAATAAGCCACAATTAAAGATAAAAATACGTTTATTGACGTTTCAATTTCTACTTCGGAAATCGTTCTCAAAATACAAACATATAAAACCAGAATTTCGGTGTTTATTGAAGGTAAACTAATTGCACGAACAAATACTTACCATGTCGGGATAGTATTATGAGGTTTTTTTCTTGGTTTTTCCCTCATAATTTACTATGGAATCACTAACAGGAGAATTTTACTGTCATCATGTCATGTGTTTGTCTTTTTAAAGACGAATTATATGCTATGATTTTTTTCTGACGGATATTCTCAAGTTAAAGTTGATTTCATGTAATCGAATGAACTATCTTATAAGTAAAGTCGTCCCAGGAGCGCAACTCAACAATATTGGCAATATCATTTTAAAGTCGTCTACTTTAAAATGCATAATGTACCTATGTCTGAATTGTCAATATAAATGAGTCAGATAAAATTAAATTATTGGAAGAATTTTTCACTATGTAACAAAAAACAAAATTTGTTTAATTTACTGTTTGTATTTTGAGAACGATTTCCGAAGTGGAAATTGAAACGTCAATAAACGTATTTTTATCTTTAATTGTGGCTTATTCCCAGTTAAATAGCAATTAATATTGCTAATGTATTGTTAATGATAATTTTTAGGTCTGTGTTCTTCCACTTCAATCACGTACATCAATCCAAAGCCTTGGGTCCCGAATGTAAACAACGAACAAGAAATAGCCTCAAAATAACCTTCTCGAAGATTTTTTTTAAGAAACTAAATAAAGAAATCGTAAAACCATTGTCGCCTTTTTCTTTAAATTATTTATTGAATTCAAGAGTTAAATACAAACTATTATCACTCAGATAAGATGAAGTATTTTAAGTGTTTTTTAGACGTTTAAATGAATATCTTAAAAAACAATTTTCAAAACCATACAAATAATGAATGGAGAATTGACAAGTATTATGCGACTTATGAGACTCTACGCAAGAAAAAATAAGATGCAGCACCTTACAGTGTTACTCTGTCACTCTAATCGCACATGACTCTCCAGCTACACCTAGTACTTCCAGCACTCTTCTCATACTTCTCTCTCACATTTCTCGTATTTAGCCATTTTTACTTGACACGTACGACATCGTGTCACCTTCACCATGACGGGGACCATCCCGACCTTTATCCTTTCTGCCACTAGAAGTCCCCTTTTTACGGTCTCATCCACTTCCATATTACAAATTCTACTTTCTCCCCTTTACCTTACTTTCCAACTACTTCACACTTCCTCCTTGTCAGCAAACTTCTCCATCGATTCGATAATGTATTTTTTGTGGTTGGACATCACTTTTGTTGCGCATCTTTGTCTTGAAACCAATGGGTTTATTCAGACGACCTCAGTGGCTGACTTTAAATACAAAGCGGCTTAGATTTATGAGACAAAAACTTCTGAAGACATTTGTCTCGACATTTCATTTCATGTTTGACTTTTCGACGAATCTAATCTCAATATTTACATAAATACTATATAAATAAATATTCTCGTTCAGTAGATATTAGGAAGAAACTATTTATTAGGCCTAATTGTTCTATACCTACGCTAGAATTTGTTCCCGTTTTACCTTCTCTAACAAGTGTAGGGAGGTAAAATAGTTAGGTATCAAAGTAAATTATTCTTTGCTTTCCCCATTCTTCTTCGGCAATGTGCAGGACTACCTAAGCTCTTAGTCCAAAGTCTTTATACTTCTCTTCAACTTTGGTATGTTTTCCCTCGTATATTTCAAATTTCATAATATATCTATAATGATCGGAAAGACACCACAATTTGTAGCATTTTTTGATAGGTTTAAGGGAATTGTACTGCTTTAGAGAGCTCCCTTGAAAAGTATCATGGATTTGTCAACAGAAAGTTCACCAGTTACTTTATAATTTCTGGAAAAATTTTCGTTGAGTTCGTCTATCATTGGCCTTATTGTGTGTTAGTATTGTCAATTATATGAATATTGCTCAATATTGTTCTATATAGCTCAACATTAGAGTTGTAATTTATGTAAAAGAAAATCGTATGCGTATGTATTCTTCTTTAATCTAAATGAATAATATGTAGAGCAACACAGATTTGTGCAATTAATGTATCTTCAATAAAAATCAATATTTTAGCTGCATACAGATCGGGTAAGGGTGGCTTTGACTTGTTTTTGGTAAATTTTAAAAGTGACATAACGTCCTTGTTTAGTATAAAGCAGACAAACTGATCATACTTGGTGATTTTAATACAAATTTAAAATTACATCTGACCCTACTTTTGATATTAAAAATCTATTAAAAACTTTTTGGTATAAATGTAACTATAAACGATTATATTAGAATCACATCTCAGTCCAGTACTAGCATCGACAAATGATGACAATTTTTTCTGAAAATATCTACAAAGTGGGCGCATTTGAACTTTTTTGTTGTGACCATCGAGCTCAATTTTTATTTATTGACTTACAGCATAAATTTGTTGACACTAATTAAACATTTCAACAGTTTATTCTTCTGGTTTACAGAACCTTAAACGTGCGGTAGCTAGTACAAAGATGGACTTTTTCTATGATATTAATAGGGGAGAGTAGTACACAACGAGACAAAAAACACATTTTTCTTTCTGACATTGACATTCTTAAATGTATCTACAAACTGAGTTAACCAGGCATCAATATGATTATTTCTTGAATACAATCTGAAATAAATATTCCCTCATGAGTGAAGAAACAAAATCTATAATTATTTTTCTAACCGGCTACATCTGTCTCATTGTGTAGGTACCATTGGTGGTACACAATGAGCCAAGTGGTATAATTTCAATAATTTGTTAAAGTAAATACATAGAGTGTAGTTTTTATCATTGAAAATAGCAATTTTACAGCTACAATAGAAAAACTTAAAATGAAAGAAAATTTTAACGGATCATAATACTGTCAAACTTTACATCAAATTTGAAATAAGATGCAAGGACCTTGTTTTTTTTTATCTACATTTTTTGGTTTTGATAGAATTGATACAACGTTTGACCTTGCTACTCCAGCAATCTTTTTAACTAAAAGAAAAATAAAGCAGTTTTGAAACTTACCACTTTTTCTTAAAAATGACACTTTAAATTCATTATCGTCTTGAAAACTTTAGCAACATTAAATATATTGTTTTCAAATTTTACTGATACAAAACTATCAATGGAAATTTCTGTACTAGCATCAATGCCATAATCGTCTTCCAACTGTAAATTTTCACATTCATCGCCAGAAAAATCATCGTAATTGATTAGTTCTTCACTCTTCTCGGATGAAGTGCTATCACTTTGTTTTTTTTTTCTGGTTTGGTGCCGAGCCGCTAACCTTATCTAAATTGACATTAATTTGTTTATTATTCTGAGGAGTCATTTTTTTGGTTGTTGCTTGCAGTTTTAACTGATCCAAGTCAGGTGTATTAGTTAAAATTGCACTCTTTTTAGTATCATTATAAGATTTTTTTGTTAGTTTGGAAACTATCACCAATAGAAAAATTACTTCCAAATGACTGACAGTACTTTTAAGTCTCTAACGAAAAGTTAATTATTTGTCAAAAGTAAATACTTACATTTGTAGTCAAATGCTTAGTCTACAATATTTTAACTTTTATTTAAAGCATACTCATATTTTTAATTTCATGGCACAAGTGTTAAAAATAACAAAACACATAGCTGTAGTTAGATTATGCACTAATATCATCATTGTTTTTAAGGTAAAACAATGTTGCTGGTTGATTAAAATTAATACATATTATTCTCCAAGATGTACTTTTAAAGTACACAGAGAAAAAAATCAAAGTAAATATGAAATGTTTTAGACAACATATTTTTAAATAAGTACCATAAAAAATTGAAGTACTCATCAACTAAAAGTTGCTGATACTTCTTGATCACTTTGTTAGGGAATCGTAGAATGAAACAATTAGTCTGAGACTTCCGCCTATTTTTATTGTCAAAAAATGTTTGGTGAACAACTACCCTAAGACAAAAATAATATACATGAAAATGTCAACTCAAATCTTAAGAAAATATGTTTACTTTTAGAAAACCTTCCATACATGCCAGATACTCCAACTAGTTAATGTTTAATAATAAATTTAATACGACAGAATGAATTTTTATTGATTCTAGTACAAAGATTCGGTGGCATTTGAAGGTCTGGGCTTCTTAATTTTGTCGAGATTTTTAAGAACAATGTCATGTAGGGCACAGTATCTGTTCCTGATTTCAGACATCACTAACCATAAGCTAAGATACTCTTTTTCGTCCAGTTCTTGTACTGATTTTCTGTAGTCTTCTATGTGGGGGTACTTAGCTACTTTCGAAATTAATTTACCTAAAAAATACTCAATTAAATACTGTCATGGACATCAATGTTTTACTTGACTCACCTCTGGAAACATAATACCGGGAAATTTGATCAAAGAATGCAGCAGCTTCAGATTCCACCGACTGCACTTCAGCCAATGTGTCTTCTTGAATGGATACACCAAAGTTGTTACCATCTTCAATTTTTGGAATCATAAATGAAATCCACATTTTTATCTACAATATAAACAAATTCTTAAGTATAATTATCAAATATAAAGAAATGAAAGGTATTAACCAACTGATGTCTTCACCAACATATTCAAAAGATAGACAAAAACATAAAAATATCCCAAAATCTATTTGAAATGATCATTTTTTATATTATTATAACAAGAAATTATTATTTAACTAAAAAAGATCAAATTTAAAGCAACTATTTCAAAAAACCATATCATGTTGAAAATCTAGACAGCAACATCCAAAAATTTAAACAAAATATGATTATAATTATAATCCATTAGAGAAGAAAATTCATTATGAATCTAGAAATAGGCCAAATTTAATAAAACTTATTCAAAACAATCATTGTGATACCCAAAAATGTAATTAAAATAATTTTTTTTTGCCTACCAAGTTTGAGTCTTCCACGAGTTTCCTAATGTGAGGTTTTACTTGTTCTATCAACTCTACTATATTTTTGTTGGTTGAAACTACACCAGTAGGAAGAATCATAACTTTAGTGCCATCCTGGTTGAGGCTGGGGTCAAGTTTAGCCTTTTTTGCAACTGGCTGCTCACTGTGACTGTTCAAGATGATTGGATCTGGTATTGGTATATTTAAGTCTTGATGAACATCGTTGAAGCTTCTGTTTTTAAAGCGAGACGTTTCGAGGATATTGTTCAATTTTACTATAGTTTCTGGAAATCCTTTGAGTACTAATGATTCAGCCTGTTTCTTTACTTCTTCTTTGTATTCTTGTACCTACACAAACGATATAATTAGTAACAGTAATAAGATATAGTACATTATTGTTAATATTTCAAATTGGTCGAAAACTTGCCAGAATAAGACAGGAATCGTTACAGCTAAACCACATTTTCATAGAGGCTTTTAGGACATGAAATGTCATTTGTAACGTTAAACTCATAAGTCGACTTGAGACAAAATAAAGTTTATTTAGTAACTACTTACTAAACAGCAACTTACTTTTACAGATTCAGCCATAATAATCTGCTACTGCTCACCCAACACTTGTAAATCTTTTAATAATGACAAATTACACAAACTTAACCTAAAAACTAGACTGAATAACTTAACGTGTTTGGAGAAAGGAAGTTAGCAGCAGAAAACGCTTGAAGTTTTAAGCATAAGGAAAGAAATATATCTGTTCTCTTTGTTATTTTACACCATAAAAAAAGAGATAACTGAATATGCGCTATGGATTTTTGCCAAAATCCCATTAAAAAAAAATAACAATATCGGAAATGTGAATAGATAAACATTATTCACTTGACTCAAAGAATAAACCATAAACACTATAATATTATATAATAGTTTTCAAAAATTAGAGATTGAATTATACAACCGGGAATGAAGTCGTATAATTGGTTGCCTACTTTTAAGAAATTATTACAGAAACGATGTTTTCAGAAAGACATTTTAATATCAATATCAACACAAACAAAGTTTACAATGATAATTCCTTGTCTAAGATGATATTAATCAATATGCTAAATTGTGCAATTCGTTTAATATTATTGCATACTTGTTGAGATAAACTGGCTTTACTTGGTTAGTTGGTTGTGATCAAAGGTTAGAGTTGCTGGCAAAATGGATTTAAGTGGTAAGTGTCTATACTTTTATGACTTATTTTGTCTGCAGAATAAAAAAAATGTTATGTACCTGAGATTTCTATCTGTACAGACAATACCGTACCCGTACTTCAAAACAGCAGTAATGTTCAAAACATACTTGTTACAGTAATTTTGACAAAATGTTGACAATTCTGGTCCCAAATAAAATATTTTCTCGTGTACTTAACCTTATGGGTAAATAAATAAACTATTTTACAGTATACAGTCACAGAATAATAAACAATTGTTATTTATTCTGTGATATTGTCATAAGACTTTAGGTTATAAAAGAAGTTTGATTTATCAATTAATCTATCAATTGTTTATGAATTTAAAGCAGTTACAGAAGCAGTCTAGACCCACTAAGATAGTTTAAATTTTTGAATCATTGTAGTTTTAATTACCTGAATATCTACAAATTATCTGTTTTAGGAATGAGAACCAGTTACAATAGCAAATTGGTATCCTTCTTAGAAAAGGACATTGAAATTAAAGAACCATACAATCTGTTTAAGAGATGGTTTAAGTTGGTGAAGGATGATCCAAGAACAGTTGAAGCAAATGCTATGTGTGTGTCAACAGCAACAAAGTAGGTGGTACTTGTAACAATATTTTAATTTTATATATAACAAATTATAAATGAATAATTACTGCCCAGGTAAAACAAATCATTATTCTTCCATAGTCAAATTTCACACATTATGCCATTTTTTGCTTAAAATGTATAATTTTTAGGGATGGATTTCCTTCTGCAAGATATTGCCTTCTTAAAGGATTTACTAAAGATGGTTTTATATTTTTCACGCATTATACTAGCAGAAAAGGAAAAGAATTGGTAAGTTTTGGAACTTGTAGTAAAGAATATTTGCTAAAATTTGTGTTTTTAGGAGGAAAACCCCCGTGCAGCTCTTACATTTTATTGGGATCACTTCAATAGATCAGTAAGTACATCTAAAATTTCTCAAAAGTTAATTATCTTAGATATCCTTATACTAATAATTTTTATTCAATATTTTAACAGAAAATAGTAAATGTTTAGGCTACCTCAATTCTAGGTTAGGATCGAAGGTGATGTAGAAAAGTTACCATTTAGCGATGCAGACGAATATTTTAGTAAACGTCCATTCAGAAGCCAGATTGGTGCCCTTTGTAGTAACCAAAGTGTACCTGTTGAAGGACGCCACATATTAGAAGAAAAAGCTGAAGAACTAGCCAGTAAATATAGAGAGGGAGAAGTCCCAAGACCACCTTTATGGTAATTTGTTGTTTTTTTATAACATCATGTGGATATTGAAGACTTTTAATGTTTTTCTTGTTTGATCATGTATTATTTTCTAAAAATTGATATCTTTTTATTATTTAGGGGTGGTTATCTAGTAAAACCAAGACGTTTTGAATTTTGGCAAGGTCAGACAGACAGAATTCATGATAGAATCATCTTTAGAAAACCTAATTGCCCAAATGAACCAGATGGTATTTTGACACATCCAGCTGAAGATGGTTGGATATACGAGAGGTTGAACCCTTAAACTATTATTTATTCTAAGATTTATTTTATCACCATTAGAGTAGTTGCCAAATTTTATTATAAGATTATATTAAAAATGTTAAACAAATTTGTGGTTTTTATATTTTTCCCTTCACTCGATGCCAGAACACCACTCAAATGATAACATCAGTACATTTATAAAATATATTAAAAAAATAAATAAATTCAAATAAGAATATATAAATAGTAAACCACGAGAGTTCACAAAAGGGTTATTAGAGTAGCTTTCAAAAACATACTATAGTTTATTTAAGATAGTATAAAAAATATTACATAAATTCTAGTTTTAAAATTTCCCTCTTCACACCTTCTGTACTCTGCCAGCAATTGGTATGTTTAAAAACTTTTTTGCTGTCCACAAAATCTTGAAAAAGATGCACTCCACCTCCCACTCCAAAATAGAATGATTTGGCGGCCAAAAGTCTACATTTTATTAAGGAAAACACTGTATTTTGAAATAAATCTTTGATAATAGTATTTTTTTCTATTACTAAACATACAAAATATAGAGATTCTATGTAACGAGCCACTAAGTCATATTTGAAACTATTTTGAAGGCTCTTAGCAAAATTTCTTATAAGCAGAGGTGAATAAATAACTAAAAAAATAACAAATAGTGAGATATTTTCATACTTCATTTATACTAATGTTAAACCACCTTAATTTTTTCAAACTGCCATCTAGTAGAGTATTTTTCAATGAAAAAAATCATAAATTAAACGAGTTCTTCTCATATTTTTAATATATAAATACTTAGGTAAGGATACATTACACCATTTTTGGCAAGTAACTTTTCAAACACTAAGTGCAGCTTCATATAATAACCAGTGTTGTATATCGTTTCAGAAGTCAGGATATAATCGAATTTTGCCTCTGGGTAGTTCTTTTCTGAATATTCTACAAAAGAATGCCAATCTCCAGAGAAAAACCTACATCTGTCCAGTGATTCTTTACAATTTAACTCAATATTCGGTATGGTTATATTTTCTAAAACATCTTTGTTCTGAAAAGATAACAAAAAAAAAATGTAAATTGTATCAAAAAATATTAATATGTGGAAAACTTTCTTCCTCAGTGTTGTTAGGTCTACTTTAAGCCTTGGTGTTTTTTGTAATTTCAACTTACATGGACACAACAAGCAAATATTTAAAAATTGTAGAAACAACGTAAAAAATCATAGTTAGCAAGCATATTAATATACTGAAATGATCCATAAAATGAAATAAAAACAAAACTTATCAATTATGTGCTTTTGATATGAAAGTTGCTGGAAAAAATCCTCAAACTGTTTTTACCAGAAACTTTTGCGATGCCAACTTAATAACTTTTCAAAATATTTTAGCTAATATTGATTGGAGTGATCTATATGTGGCTGGTAGTTTTGAAGAAAAAATTTCAATATTTTATGATACTTTCTTATATTATTATAATATTACTTTCTTAAAGCGTAGAGTAACTACCAGACCAAAACAAAAAATGTGGTTTGCACCTCATATTAAGGGTTTGCATGATCAATTGTGTCAGATGAATGGATTAAGAAAACAACTCAATAACACAGAGTATTCGGAACGATACAAGAAATTTAAACAAGAATATCAAACAATTGTTAAAAAACATAAAAATGAACAATATGATAATCAATTTAGAAATAGCAATAATGTAATGAAAGAAAGTTGGAAAATAATTAATAAAAATAGAGGTAAAAACTGTCAGTCAAATCAAAATTTAATATCTTTTAGTAACAACGGTGACTTACAAAATTATCATAAAGCTGATCAAATCAACAATTATTTTATTAATGCTGTAAAAAATAATGAACTATCAGTTGTTAACCGTACCACACAAATTGACCAATTCAATTCAAGTTTCTTTCTATCACCAACCACTGAAAAATAAGTTATATCTATTGTATTAAAAACTGCTTCTAAAACAGCTGCAGGGGTAGACGAAATTGATGGAAAAGCTTTGAAACATGTTGCCACTTATATAGCTTTACCACTATCTTATCTCATAAATGAATCATTTACATGCGGAATATTTCCAGATATAAAGGAATCCCTATTTTTAAAAATAAAGGATCTGCAACAGATATTGCAAACTATAGGCTGATTTGTGTGTCAAGTCAGTTCTCTAAAATATTTGAAGCAGCCTATGCAAAATGGATTAACAGATTATTTAGAACATTTTAAAATTCTTCCTGTTATTCAAAACGGGTTTAGAAAAAAGAAATCTACAAATACTGCTATTTCTGACTGTCTTTAATTTATTTATAAAGCATTAAATGATAAATTAAATGTGTTGGGTCTTTTTTATGACCTTAGTCATGCATTTGATACGGTTGATCGTGAACTCTTACAGGCCACTTCAATGTATGATGGGTGTACCTCAAGGCTCAATACTTGGGCCTTTATTTTTCATTATATTTGTAAGTGACCTAAACACGTTTAATTCAATGTCAGATAAAATTGTTCAATATGCTGATTATACCAATATTCTCATGTCTCACAGTGAACCCATACAACTGGTGGAAAATAACAATGTTGTGTCTGCTGAATTTAGCAGATATTGTAAAAATAATGTTTTCGTTTCTTACCAAAAAACTTAACTCCAAATTCTGACTTTTATTTACATGTGGATGGCAAATCAGTAGAAAGTTATACTACAACGAAATTTTTGGGGGTAACTCTAGATCATAAACTTACATGGGAAACTCACGTAAATCATGTATCAGCAAAGTTAAGTACATGTAGCTATATAATCCGTAATTTAAGAGAAACTGTCTCATTTGATATATTGCGAATGATTTACTTTAGTTCAGTCCAGTCTGTACTTCAGTATGGCTTAATATTTTGGGGTTGCTCATCTCATTTTGAAAGGTCATTTATAGCTCAAAAGAAAGTTTTAAGAAGTATATATGGTGTTCCATTTTCAGATAGTTGCAAGCCACTATTTAAGAAGTCTAATATTTTAACACTACCTAGCCTTTTAATTTTCCAATTAATATTGCACATTGAGGAAAACAAGCTCAAATTTGTCAGAAATGAGGACATTCACTCACATGATACCAGGGGTAAATCAAATTTTCGACAAGCTTTCTCTAGATAAGGTGTATCCCAACATGCACCTGAATATATTGGAATAAAATGTTACAATAAAATAGTCAATATATTAACTCTCAGTAATTCTTCACATAAAGGTTTTCGCCAAACTGGGTATTCGTTTTTAATGGACAACACATTCTACGGTGTTGATGGATTTTTAAATTTTTAACATTTTTGCAACAATAGTTCTAAATTTGTATTTGTAACTTTTATTTCCTATTTATTTTATTGTAATAACTGTTTTATTTTAATCATGTGTACTTTTGCTATATATTGTACTCTTTTGTACTAAAATTTTGACTAGTCTGATAAGATTTATACATTTTTTTTTTCTTGTAAAAATTGTGTAAACTTTGTGGATGAATAAATTCTATCTATCTATCTATCTATAACTCTTGATACTACCTCTAAAGATATCTATATTTTTAAATTCAATTTCTTTAAATAACATCAAATTCAAAATAAACACTACTATTTTCTTATATTCTGAAAGAAATAAACAACTTACATAATCTTGAAACCAACAACACTGTGCTTGGTGTAGCAAACTATGTATGCCTAAAATTCCAGCACCACATCCTAAATCCAAAACCAATTTATCTTTAAAATCCACTTGGTTTTCTGATATATAATCCAGGAGATCATAAGTGCATTCCCATATCTTTAAACCACCTAAAAAATAGCATCATAAGTCCAAAGTATATTAAAACATACTAAATTACCTTCGTATACTGCTGGTAATAGATCAGAGTGTTTTTCTTCAGCTTTTAATATGGAATCTTCACTTAAATGTTGATTAGTTTTTAAAATATCCAGTAAAGATTCATTACAAATATATTTGATATTTGTGTTGTTTATGTTTAGAAGTTTCGTTCTGACATTCTTTAAATCATAATGGCGATTTGTTGAAGATTGTATTTCCTGACATTCCACAAAACAGGCACTATCATCTTTAATCTTCAAATCTACATATATATCATACTCAATAACACTTTTCTAGTATATACAGGTGATATATAAAATAACAATGGTTAAAGAGAACTAGGAAATAACACAAATGTGTTATATTATTAAGAAAAAATTGCAAACTAGCACAGCAATCAACACTGATTGACTGAACCCTCTATTGATTACCAATATATAATTTAACATAAAAAACGATTACATTTAAACATTTTAAAAGAATCATATTGCAAAGTGAAATCGAAATTGTTTATTTTGACTGATAATATGTCATTAAATATTTACATACCGTCTCTATTATCATCGTTATCGTCTGAGTTAAAATTAAACTTAAACATTTTTTAAGATAGTTATAAAAACGTGAAAATATGCATGATATTTTTTATCTACTTTTAAATTCCATAACAAAAGTGAAGTTGGCAGCAGTTACAATTTTCCAGGCTTTTACTTTATAAGCTGTGCAGTTCTCGCTTGGATTTGAATCATTTAAATAAATTCTTCTCCTTGTTGTTTAGACCGTTTCATTGATATGTTGTTTACACGCACTTCTCAACATGATTTCATTCTAACAATTTTCGGTATTCTCTTTTAACCCTGAGCTACTATCGTGTATTTACACCCACATAACTACTATCGTGGGGTCATAGATGACCCGAATTTTAAAAACCTCTAAACAAGATATGAAAATATATTTTTTATTGTTTTTGTATTTTTGACAAATGAATGTGTACTTATATAAAAAAGAGATTTTTTGTAAACTTAAATTTTATTTCAAGAAAATTAAGATGCTATAATAAAAATTATAGAACTTTTAAAATAAATTTTGATCAAAAACATAACTCATTATTATAACAAAAAAAATATATCTTAAATTGAAATTAACGGTTCATTTTCTGAAAAGTAGTTTATAATAGTAACGTCTTAACCTAATACAAAAGAAAATCATAATAGAGTAACCATATAAAAAAATAACAGTCATGTTTTTTTTCGTAATTGTAATCGTAATCTTGCGACAAAAATATTTGAACAAATTGTAAGTGTTTATCTATTCTTTGCACATAGTACAGGTAACTCGCTGATGTGAATGTGTTTTGCAGATGGTCCTATGACATTTTGCGCAAAATGTGGAATGTTTGTTATCCTTACCTCTTGGACACAAGTAGCATCTACGTCTTACAACTGGCCTTTCTGGTTTGGTCTGATCTTGATGAGTAATTTTATTTTCTAATGCTTTGGAAGTTATCGAGCGTAATTCTCTTGACAAATTTGACATTGCAAATCTTACTTCTAAATGTTCATTTATAAGACTGATTCCCAGCTCTTGAATAAAATCCGATCGATTTTTTCTAACCCCAGGATTAGCTGCGTGAAAAATAATGTGACTATTTACTATAGCAATATCTATTATGGAATACCAAATTACTAAAGGCCATCGCTGGCATCTTCGACCTGAACGATAAAGTGCACATGTTTGATCAAGTGCATCAACGCTCCCTTTCGACGAATTGTAGAAAGCTATTATATCAGGTTTTTTGCTTTCCTGGTCAACAGATTTGTCGTGATGCATAGACGACAACATAATTACACTTTTATTTTTTTTTAGGGACATATGATACGATTGTATTGTCTCGTGTAAAACCAAATAAACACTTATCAACTTCGTAATTTTTATTTGGTTGAAATTGTGGAGGAATTTCTCTCTTATTTTTACGCATTGTACCTACATAGGTAAGTCGAAGTTTTTTTAGTTCATCAGCTAGCTCTATTGAGGTGAACCAATTATCACCAGTGGCATTTCGGTTACTATTGGCAATTGGTTCCACTAAAGCAAGTACTGATCTTGTAGGTATGGATAGCTTTTGGGCATTAGGATCATTTGTTTTACCCGTATACACAAAAGCATTTACCAAATAATGTGTTTTTGCGTCACATAAACACATGATCTTGATGCCGTACTTGACTGGTTTGGCTTTCATGTACATTCTGAAAGGGCATCTACCTCTAAACCCAACCAACATCTCGTCCTGTAACATATTCGGAACAGGTGTAGTTTGCTGTACTGTTAGATACGAAACATTTAAATAAATAGGACACTGCTGCAAGTCGATCTCCATTAGCCTTCTTTTGCTCTCTTATTTCATGATTGTCAAATCTTATTGCTGTGAGAAGAAATAAGAAGCGTTCTTTTGACATTGTAGCACGAAAAATTGGCCTACCTAAAACACTTGTCGAAAATAATGAATCAACATTCTCATGATTAGACTTTAGTACACCTGAAAGGTATAAAAGACCCAAAAAAACCTTAAGTTCACCTTCGTTTAGATGATCGACAAATGTACATGTATCCCCATAATTTACACTGAGCTCGGTAATTTTTTCATTTGTGTACCTACTCTAGAATAGAGGCCAACATGTCAGGAGTTATAAGAAGTGACCAGGATTCAAGTGGACTGGATCGTTTTGTTAAATTTAAAAAAAATTTAAACAAGAGTACTGAAGAGTTTTATTTTTGTGGCAAAGTGCTTTTTCCCTCCCAGGTACAGAAATATTCTTTATATAAACTGTATGAAGATGATGTTGACCTAGAGCTGTACCTAATTGAATCGAAATTGCAAATAGAAATGGAATGTTCGTAAATTCTATTTTTTATTCTTCGATTGGTTTGGCCTATGTAAGATTGAGTGCAGATGGCATAAGGAATTTTATAAACTTCATATTGTTCATAAACGCCGTAATGATCTGTCTTCAACAATAATTATACCTTATTGGTACCTTATCAAAAAGTGTACATAAATGATATCGGTTTATATTGAGTGAAAGATAAAGTCCTGTAAATTTGTCTATTAGTTGTGACTACTCTTGCAGCTAGAGCGTTAAAAATTTTTTGTTGTCTATACTGATATTTCCATGAATCATCGCTTATTTCACAAACGAGTTAGTTATTCATCTTTTTACAAATTACATAATCTTATTAATTTAACAGATAACATTTGTGATCTTGAACTTCGGAAAAATCTGGAAGTTATTAAAAATTCCACGCAAATTATAAAGTATACAATGAGTATGAGTTTATTTTCGTTACAGAGCATTATCTCTAGACTGCTAATTGATTGATTTGAAACATTTAACGAGTCATTGTTAAATTTTCAGTCTATGTAATATTTGTGTGAAGAAAATTTATGACTATGTTATTCTTTTTAACTTTTAAAATTCAAACTGGAAGGATTTCCGAAGTGGACATCGTAATATTAACACAAACGTATTTTTACTTAAAACTATGGCTGATTCTCAAATAAACATAGGGGAGAAGTGCGAGGTGTGGGACACTTTTTGAATAATATATTTTTTTAATTGTTTATTAGCTCCTAGTGAAAAAATAATGCTAGGATATGTTAGAGAGCCCTTTGGCCTACGAAATTAAAAAAAAAATGGCTGATGTAAGTATTCTGGGTGAAGTATAATGGAATAAAGTATAATGGATAGTGTGAGGAGCTGCAAATTTAATTAAAAATCCTTTGTAAAAGGTATATTTTAGGCCCAAACGGGCTAAGTTAAAAAGACAAAACGTTTTCGGAAACCATGTTCCATCATCAGTGTCTAGGAGTACATGAATGAAGCCACCAAGATTAAATATGTGGGTAAAAACCCGATTACATATGTTTAATTACATTTAGTTTTAAATTAATGTTGAAATGATATAAGATTACAGAGTTACCGATGGATTTGGTAACATGGCGACATATGACTCCACGTTGAAGTTGCTAGTCCTGAGACGGTATGTCTTCGAGGACTATATGAGTGCAACTTAGAGTTGTACATACATGGTATACAGCCAACTACAGGAACGTAGATTCCTTGTGGAGCTGCAAATGTTCCATATCACCCATACCACTGGGAGGAGTGGGACACTAGTAGAGAGGTCCGGGACAGGATGTAATAAATGTTTTTTTTTTGACACAACTTTTCTTTATTGTACATTGTATTTTGACAATTTATCCGGAAATACAAACAATGATTTTACTCTCTCTGTACCTCCGGATGATATTGGTGCAGACAATTTAAAAGCAATATATCCTGTTTCTCAATAACGCCATTGTCCCCCACATTCGGAAAATAAAATTTCCAGATTCCTCCTTTTTTACGCATGAACTTCAACTTCATCTAATGAATCACACTTCAATACTCTCCCAACATAATAAACAACAGACTTTTTAACAAGCACAAAATCGTCAGTCTTAAGATTCACAGAACTATTATTCCAATCTATTTCTTCCATTTCATCCTCCTCAGAACTTAGAGATATTTCTAGATCATTATCTGTATCTTGATATGGAATTTGTGCTTCCTCGGACGAAGACTCAAAATCTTCACAAACTTTCTTCTTATTAGATATATTGCGGATGGCTACAGATAATTTACCAGAATTCTTCCTTTCTCTCTCAAGATCTAATCTTTCGGCCTCTGCTTTCTCTGGTGTACTAGTTAAAATACGACTTCTGCCTTTCTTTCCTCTTCGAGCTTCTTTGCATTGTGCAGCTTTATGAAATGGTCGGATTTGCTCAGGTGTAATCAGGATTTTCATTGGCATTATAAGTTCTTGAGTGCCGTTAGAGTCTTCAGAAGTTGTAGATGGAGAAAAGATGTAGAAGGATCGTTTGAGGAATGATGTGAACTGGCTGTATGGTCAATTTCAGGGTATTCTTGTTCTGCTAAGAAAGAAGTACCATTAGCTTGTGCAGATGGAGGAGGCAGATCAGTTATTGAAGACATTAGAAATTCTGCTTCAGTGAATGGCTCACTGTTGAAAGGGTAGATGCCAGTCTTTCGAAAACTAGCAATAATGTTTTTCTGCGTTACAGTCATAGGGTAAGCTTTCCTCACGAGATCACCTATGCAGTAGTTTGGTAGGATATGGTTTTGCCTGTGTGATTCAGTAGCTAATCATTACAAACTCTGTGATATTGACTTTTAAATGGGGCAAAAACATATACATCGAGGGGCTGTAGTCTCTGACTACAATGTGGTGGAAACGTTAAAAGTATAACTCCCTTTTCTTTTGCTGTCATTACCATTTCTAAACGCACATGGCTCTCGTGGTTGTCTAAAATTAACAATATTGGTTGTTCCTTACTGCATTTTGTGTGATGAATTATGTGTTTTAGAAACTATAAAAAGGCCAGTGATTTGCTCCCCTTTTCAGACGATGTCACTTGTCCTATTTGCTATTCACCACGCTTAGCCACAACCTTGGATGCAATATTTACTGTACTTATTCCTGTTTCCTCACAGTTGAATATACGATCTGGGGTGAGATTATACTTTTCATAGATAGTTTTTAAGTTATTTAGAAACATATCAAAATTGGTTTTGTTGAAGCTTGTTGCCCTTCCCAGACTTGTAGCTTCTGGAGAACGTAGC